CCACCCACCCTACCCTCATTTTACTTTCACAATCACAGATTTGTGGCAAAGTTCACCCTACACACTTAACTAGGATGGTTACAAATCTAGAGGCTGTATTCACACCACATGGTCAGCTTGGCTAGTTTTAACCTTGGTTAATTTTATTTTGTGGCTTAGTATGCTATATGAATCCAGACTATTGGAGTTAATTTATGGCTCAGTGAATTCAGAGAATCAATTAATTCATCAAAAGAGTGTGTGTGTGTATCTTCCTCCTCCTCCTCTTGTTGATGTCATCATCATCCTGAATCAGTCCATTGCAAGATGAACCCCTCTTCACAGAAGGTTAGTTAGAAGTGTGTGGGTGTATAATTAAACACTTTGAAAGGTACACATATGTACATGTACATACACATTGTCTCTCTCTCTCTCTCTCTCTCTCTCACTCACACACACACACGGATACAATATTCCCAAATGATGTAATGTTAGCAGGAACTATCGGCCCTATGTTGTCTGTTTTTTTAAGAATTATGAAGACAATGTACATGATTTTTTTTAATTATGCCAGTCCCCCAGGTATTACGCTCTTGTTCTGATTTCATTGAGAAGCATGGCATCGTGGATGGCATTTACCGTCTCTCTGGTGTCTCCTCCAACATCCAACGTTTGCGGTGAGCTGTAGACCATGGTGGGGCAATAAGTAGAGCTTGTAAAGGCAAGGCAAAGAACAACTAACAAGATACGTATATAATGGGCAGATTTGTCTATGTGTATATCTCATACTTGTCTCCTTTCTTGTATAGTAAAGTTCCACCCTTATTTTGTTGTATACATGAGTTAAATGTGAGTGGGCATCTCACCACGTGCATCAGAGATGAAGAGCCTGAGGACTTCTTCATGGCTCTCCTCCAACCAGAATGTCTGAAAATTGCTCTTTTGAGGCAGAGTTAAAGAAAAATGGTAGCATGCATTCTCAGATAAGATTCTCCATACTTTTCTTCCAAAACTCAGGAAAAACTAAAAAATCCTAATAAAGTAGACCATGACCCCACTGGCTTTGCATCATTGATCTGGCTATTGTTGTCTTCCTACCAAAAGGGTTAAAGTAGCCCCTGCCCCCGCCTAGGGCGACCAAAGGTTTTTCTACTGCAGCCCTCAATAGATATGGCAATGAATCCATGCAACTGCTCTCTAATCCATTATCTCTCTCTCTGTCCCCAGGCATGAGTTTGATAGCGAACGGGTGCCCGAACTCTCCAAAGATGTTTACTTGCAAGACATCCATTCAGTCAGCTCTCTCTGCAAGCTGTACTTCCGGGAATTACCAAACCCTCTGCTCACCTATCAACTCTACAACAAATTTGCTGTAGGTTTTAAAAAACGTTGGAGAAGGTTCCCTTTCTTGTAGCTGCTGGCTCCAGTGAGCTGTATCTTAGCAGCTCATTCTCCTGTGCGAGTTTCTGACAGTGTGTCTGGATGAATGGGAGGCTGCCTCCTCAATGCATAGATTTTCATGCACCTTTCGTTGAGGGTTCAGTTATGCAAAAACACCTGTGTCTTTTTTTTTAATAGAAAAACATTTTGCACGCGCCTCCGAGTGTTATAACTCTGTTTAAAAAATCCCTTTATTTATTCTAATTGTTGGATGTCCTTCCTTCCTTCCTTCCTTCCTTCCTTCCTTCCTTCCTTCCTTCCTAAAAGAATCAATCAGCAAAGAAACACCCTGCAATAATAAAGATAATTGAGGGTTAAAAAGCATTCAAAGAAAACAAACAGAAGGCCAAATATATTACTGTGAAAGAATCAGTAACAACAGAGGCCTTTCCTAAAAAC